TTGCTTTCCCTAGTGTCCAGGAAAGCTAAGACAAAGCCCAACCATCTCTCTTCCCAAACATCAGCCTCCCCCCCTGCCATCTGTTAGTTGTTCCTGCCTCTTGGCTACAAAAGAGAAGCTTCTAACGTGTTAACCTGTTCACCTGGTTTTGCTGGAAAGAAAAGCATTGCGTACAAAGGGCAGATACCCTTGCCCACAGGCAACCTCTAAATTTTCGGTAACGAAGTTAACCAAAGGATTGATTATCTTTGTGATTCCCAGGTATTGTCTTGTCTTTTCTCTGCGGTGGTATCACTGGAGAAGGGTAGCTTTTGTTTCTGAAAGAGAAGCTATTCTAGAGCAGAACCGTCACCTGCGAGGGCTGTGAGTAACAGATTTAGGCGGGTAAGTGTCAGGGACAGCAAGGTCCCAAAGAGAAAATGAGTGTACTAGCATTTGACAAGAAATGGAAATACGAGACTTGATAGTACCAGGCAGTCAGAAAATCAGCTGTACTGAATTTTTTCCCCTTTTGCACAGAGCTGTAATAGCCATGCAAAGAAATGAAGTTACCATGTTCACTCTTACTGTTACCAGCAGCGGCGACATTCTACAAAGTCTGACGAGCTTAAAGAACCATGTGGCTCCATAAGAAAGGGAATGGTGCATTGCCATGCCCTAAGATTGATTTGCTCTGCAATAAGTAGACTAAGATGTGCATAACCAGCTTATTGATTGACACTTGACTGCGAAATGACTCCCATGGGAGTGGAAAGAGTCAAAATAATGAAATTGCTCAGAGTTAGTAGTTGATAGAGAATTACCAATAAAAATGTACTTCTGGGGGCCCCTGGGTGGCTCAGTGGGTTAAAGCCTCTGCTTTCGGTTCAGGTCATGATCCCAGGGTCCTGGGATCGAGCCCCGCATCGGGCTCTCTGCTCAGCAGGGAGCCTGCTTTCCTTCCTCTCTCTCTGCCTGCCTCTCTGCCTACCTGTGATCTCTGTCAAATAAATTTAAAAAATAAAAATAAAAAAATTAAAAAAAAAATGTACTTCTGATTCATCGGGTCACTCTTCCATAATCTCCCCACACTTGAATTAAATAAGCAGAGCCTGATAATCCTGTTGCTAGTTGTTTCAACAAATAAACAGAGATAAGAAACATAGAGTGCATGATCATGAAATTATGATAAAATACATATATATATCTGTTAAGTAACCTTAAATAGCCCTTGGCCAGCACTGACAGTCTGTGACTGAATGTCTAATTAATGTCTAAAGAACATTAATGGTTCTTTCTTCATTTCCCTTTGACAAGTACCTAGACTGCACACTATGTTATGGGCTGGAATCTTTCCACTTTTTTCATTAAAAGAAATTCAAAGTACACAGGCATGTTGACATAGGAATTTGTGAATTACATGTTATGAAGCTTTTTTTTAACAAATCCTCCCCATGGATATGTTTATTCATGTCCCTGGTACCATGGACATGTTTATTTCTGTTCCCCAAGGAGAACTAGGGTTAAAAAAAATTGGCATCTGTCATCTCTGCTCAACCGGGATTTATTCTTTATCTGTAATTTTAAAAACAAACCATAAAGTCAATCTCTTTGAATATAAAGTTCTAGTTCCTCCTCTATAAAACATATTTGTAGATATTTAATAAAGCTGCTATTCATACTGTTTTAATAAAGAATATAATTTTAGGGGTGCGTGGGTGGCTTAGTCATTAAGTGTCTGCCTTCCGCTCGGGTCATGATCCCGGGTCCTGGGGTAGAGCCCAGCATCGGGCTCCCTGCTCAGTGGCAGGAAGCCTTCTTCTCCCTCTTCCACTGCCCCCTGCTTATGTTCCCTCTCTTGCTGTGTCTCTCTCTGTCAAGTTAATAAATAAAATCTTTAAAAAAAAAAAGGTCTGGCCCCACGGACCCACGAACTGACAGATCCACACAGACAAATCTGCCCGGCTCTTACAAGTGCCATGTCTGGTTCCTCCAGCGTCACCGCTGTGAAGAAAGTGGTTCAATAGCTCTGGCTGGAAGCTGGGCTCAATCTGGTGAAGGTTTCCCAGGCAGATACAGATTTGAAACAGTTCTGTCTGCAGAATGCCCAGCCAACCCCCTGCTAACTGTTGTATCTTTAAGTATGAATCCCTTCAGACCCCAGAAAGTCTGTTCCTTTTTGTAGTAAAATGAATCTCTGGATGGTTTTCTAAACCACTGTTCATGAACCAGTGAATATTCAAAGGAGAACTAAATTTGAAACCTGTACAAAAGCATATCCCTGTGACATGTGCCAAACTATGTAAACTTCTACTTTTGTCAGTCCTCAACATTTGCCTCTCTGAATTTTCACAAATTCTATTTCATAAGGGTAATTATTTTATGTACAGTAGCAGCATAAATAAAATATTTAGTGTAAAAATATATATATATAACTTCGGGCACCTGGGTGGCTTGGTTGGTTAGGTATCTGACTTTGGCTCAGGTCATGATCTCAGGGTCCTGAGATTGAGCCCCGCATCGGGCTCTCTGCTCAGCAGGGAGCCTGCTCCACCCCCCACCACTTGCCTTTCTGCCACTTTTGATCTCTGTCAAGTAAATAAATAAAATATAAATTTAAAAAAAATATATATATATATATATATAATTTTAGCAGCACCTGGGTGGCACAGTGGTTAAATACCGACTTGGTTTCAGTTAAGGTCATGATTTCAGGGTGTTGGGATTGAGCCCCACCTGGGCTCCATGCTTAGCCGGAATCTGCTTGAGATTCTCTCTTCCTCTCCCTTTGCCCCTCCCTCCCATCTCATGCACTCTCATTCACTCTCTCACAAATAAATAAAATCTTCAAAAGAAAATATGTATATATAATTTTAGGAGGGAATACTAGAATGCTAACATGATCTGAAAGTTATAGTCAGTTTTTGTTGTTGTTTAGTTATAGTCAATTGTTAAAGAACTTAAACTATTGTTTTATTTTTACACCTACTTTGCTAAGTAGTATACTACATGTAGATTATAGTATTTAAATGTATAGCTGAAATACATGCAGGCCCTTCATATAAGGTAAACCCTAAGCTTTTTCAATGTGTTTGTTGATTTTTTATGTTTGTGTCTTACATGGCCCAGAGAATGTTTGAATTTTTCAAGTGAGAAGGAAGCCTAGCTGACTACCCAGTGATTTCTTATGCAGTTATTCCATATAAGATATTAAACATATTTCAGGAATCTTTGCAGAAAAATCAACTGTTTTTTTTTTTAAGATTTTATTTATTTATTTGACAGAGAGAGATCACAGTAGACAGAGAGGCAGGCAGAGAGAGAGAGAGAGGGAAGCAGGCTCCCTGCTGAGCAGAGAGCCCGATGCGGGACTCGATCCCAGGACCCTGAGATCATGACCTGAGCTGAAGGCAGCGGCTTAACCCACTGAGCCACCCAGGTGCCCCAAAAATCAACTGTTTTAAATGGGAAGTTTCATTACTAAGCAAAATCAAAGACAATTTCCTGAGAAAATATTTGACAGACAAGTTTTAATCTATTATGTGTGCATTTATGCCAGGGTACTCGGAAACTAATACATGCTCAGTTTTCAGCAAATAAGACATTGCTTGTTGCATGGATACATTTCTCTGAACATTTAGCACTTTTATTGGCCCTTTCTGTGTTTTATTGATAGAAGTTTGCTCATCTGTGTGGATAGCAGGGATGAAGATGGCGGGGATGGTGAGAGACAGGAAGAAAGATCTTAAGGCCCAGAACTGAAGGGCTTTTTGCAATAAGCTGAATCACAAAATGCATCTCTTATGGTTGTTTTGTATAGTTTGTCCTCTTATTTGCTTTCAACCTTTGTGATCAGAATTAGATCAGGGCTAAAATTCCAATTCTAGGCCCAGAGTTCAACATCTTTTCTTTTCTTTTTTTTAATTTTGAGATCTTTTGGGGTTCACATGAAGTGAACCCTACAGGGTTCCTACAGAGAGATCCCAGCTTCCCTCCATGGTAAAAATCTTATATAACTGCAGCATAATATCACAGCCAGGAAATCGACATTGAAACCCTCCCTCCGCCATGTTCACGTTTCACTAGTTTCAGGTGCACTCAGTTGTGTGTGCAAACATTTAGTCACATACAGTTTCATCACCGGGATCCTTTGTGCTTCCCCTTTTATATCCGTGGCCATTTCTTCCCAATTTTGGCAACCACTAATCTATTCTCCATCTTGATTATTATGTCATTTCAAACAGGCTATATAAATGGTATCACATAGTATGTAACCTTTTGAGATTGGTTTTTTCCACTCACTGTAATCCCCTTGAATATCTTTTGACCTCTGGATAATATAACCTTTGATCTGGTCTTTTAATTTGGGTACAAGACCGTCTAAGTTATGCTGTTTTCATAGGCAACTAAAATTTATTACTGATCCTAGAGAAAACAAACTTATCTTTACTGTCAGTGGTAGTTGGAAGATTTGATAGTGCCAGATAAGTACATGAAGAAATTAAATGTACTCAAATAGTACTTAATGTGCTGGTTTTTGTAAACTTGATTTTTCTTTAAATAAGCAAATAAAGCATAAACTTCCTAATGTTCTGGGATAGTGATTTTTCCATGTTATCCATGGTTATTAACATGTTACAAGGGAACTCCATCGTTGTCAAAATAATATTGGAGCTGTTATGGAGGACATTACAACCCAAGGAAAGATCTCATATATCATGTTGCAAAGTTTAAGATATTTTTTATTAGTCTGTCATTCTATCTCTGGTAAAAGTCTGTGGAAATTAAGATCCAATGTTCCATTTTTCTTTGTGTGAAAAACTGATGACAGCAAGGGAATGTTTTTCTGTAACTCTCTTAACAGCCTGAGTTTATCCCCCATTGAGGACTTATTACTCTGTTCACTCTGGATATTGAAATGGCCTGCTTTATTTCTAAGGCCTCATAGAGAACTTTCACACAGCGTTTCATGCTTACCTCACGCCTCTGTCCCTCATTGTCTTCTGGTGTGTTCTTTGTAGAATGTGAGCCAATAGAAGCAATAGCCAAGTTTGACTACATGGGGCGATCTGCCAGAGAACTGTCCTTCAAGAAGGGGGCCTCCCTGCTGCTGTATCACCGGGCATCTGAGGACTGGTGGGAAGGCAGGCACAACGGCATCGATGGGCTCGTGCCGCACCAGTATATTGTGGTGCAGGATATGTGAGTAGCATGGGCTCCCCCCGCCCTTGGGGCTGCTCCCGCAGTCCTGGCTGCTCCCGCTGGAAGACTCCAGTCACTATTCCTAAACTGACCTTGGTCTTTTGAGAAAAGAGCAGATGGGATTGCAGAGCCCAAACCTCTGAGTTGGGCACCCTGCTTCACCTCGCTGTTGGGTCTTTGCTAATGGTACTTCGGGGCCAGCAGGTTTTCATTTCCCAAACTCCACCAGCAGATTCGGAGCAAGGGCTAGTGAGAGATGCCCTGTGAAGCTTTCAGGCTCCTAGAAAAATCACCCATGTGGAGAACAGCTTCAAGAGCTGTAATAACACCACTAGTTCCAAGCCAGCCGTACTCCTCTCTTGCTGTCCGGCTACCATTTCAATTCCAGATTCCCCAGAGGGAAGACGCTGACCTAACATCTGAAGAGAATCATCATCAGCCTTTTTTCTGTTTTTTAATAACATTGCTGTAATTTAAAAATATTTAAAGAGATGAGAAGATGGTCATAATATATTAAATGAAAGAAATAGGTTGCAAAATCATATGTGAAGTATAATCCCTATTCTGTGAATATTTCACAGTATAGCACTAATTTACGAACGATTTTGCAAGGAAAAGAGAAATATACGGTATAAACTGTACACAGTGATTAAATGATTCAGCCTAATTTTAGAAAAAGAAAGAAATGTTAAAATGTATATCTCAGAACCCAAGAAGTATTGTGTGTGTAGATACAGACATACAGTCATAGATATTTAAACTACATAAACATATTGGTGTTTTAAGTATAAGTTCATACCTATATCTGCAGACATCATACATGTTTACCCGGGCATGGATAAAAAGTAGAGAAGGCTATTTTCTCAAATTCTAGCAGCAGTGGTGTCTGGCTGTTATATCATGACTGTGATTTTGCTCTTTTTTTGTATATCCTGATCTTGCACTTCACCTGCAGTGAAATTGTATATTTTTATTTTAAGGAAAGTCGTGTTGATAAGAGAAAGACTTGAATATGTAAATGCCGTCATTTCTTTTTTTTTTGTTCCCATTCATCTTGTGAAAGACCCTCACCCTGGATTCTCCTCGTTGTAGGGACGATACGTTTTCAGACACTCTGAGCCAAAAAGCTGATAGCGAGGCCAGCAGTGGGCCAGTCACTGAGGACAAGTCTTCATCCAAGGACATGAACTCCCCAACAGACCGGCACCCTGACGGCTATCTAGCCAGGTGGGTGGAGTCTGACCATCAGGCCCCTGAACCTCAACTTTCCCAAGTGCTTTGAGGAGCCACAGAACCCACAGCTTCTCAGTATCAGCCGGTGTGATAAGCTCTCCTATTTTCTCTCTCTTTTTGTGTATTTCTAGACAAAGAAAAAGAGGAGAGCCACCCCCTCCAGTAAGGCGTCCTGGCAGGACCAGTGATGGCCATTGCCCCTTGCACCCACCGCATGCTCTTTCCAACTCCTCGGTTGACCTGGGGTCCCCAAGCCTGGGCAGTCACCCCCGGGGCCTGCTGCAGAACCGTGGCCTCAACAACGACAGTCCTGAGAGGAGGCGCCGGCCAGGCCACGGCAGCCTGACCAATATCAGCCGGCACGACTCCCTCAAGAAGATCGACAGTCCTCCTATTAGAAGGTCCACGTCGTCGGGGCAATACACAGGCTTCAATGACCATAAGCCATTGGACCCAGAGACAATCGCTCAGGTAGGATGCGTGGAATGGCCTGGCACCTGCTTTGTACCTGGGGTATGATGAAGGAGGGATGCAGGACTCCCTGTCTGTAGTCCCGCTTTTTGTAGAGAACCAACTAGAGAAAACAGAAAAGAAATTAGTCCATTCTTTAAGGCCTGACTAAGGTCTCTTTAGAAGAAGCATTTGTTACTGGAAGGGCCCAAGTGATTAGGTTCGTATTGGTTTAAACAGAGACAGGGCAGAAGTGTAGGCCTCGGGACATTCAAACACATCATTGCTAAGTAGCCAGGAAAAGGCTGAAAAAGAATCATAATGAGGAAGGACTAGCCCTACCAGATGCTAAAGATAATAAAATAGACAAATTGTTAGAAAGAATGGAGAGCCCACAAACAGATAAATATTACTGTAGGAAAAATATGATCCTTTCAGCTTAGGAGAAATGCTGGATTAGTCTGTAAATAGTAGGAGAAATAATGGCTAGCTGAAGAACACCAGGTCTGGGTCCTCGTCACTCTTCTCTTCCCAACAGTTAGTGCAGAAGACTTCGTAGTTTTTTTCTAATGATTAAAATTGACAAAGTAAAGGTAAGGCAAGGTTGACCAATGGATTTTCTATCATTCTGTAATTTTTCCTCTAGTTTTTTCCCCCCCAGCATAGGCCATCAACAAATAATGGGTATCACCAATGACGAAAGAGGTTTAATCTAAAGCATCTTCCAGCTGTCTGAAGCTTAAAAATGAACTAAATCAATCAAAAAAAAGAGTGAATGAGAAATAAATAAAACAAACATGGGGAACTATTAAAGATGGATTATTTTTAATAAAGAGTGCCCAAGGAGACCTGTACAGATGTGACAAACTTCCAAGCTATTTCCAATATCCTAACTAAAGAAAATTTTGGATGTAAATTAGATTGTGAAGGGGTTTAATGTGTTTTTTAAAAATTAAACCAATTTTAAATGTATAACAGTTTTTCAGCAAAAATCAAAAAGACTTGACCTTTTGGTTTTCTCTGTTTGAAATACTATACAGGGTCCTTGGAGACCTATATAGAACCAGTGAGATTTAATTACAGCTGAATTTAATGGTTTGAGAAATCCATAAGGTCCCTGCTTGTAATAAGCCGGTGAAACAGGATTTAGGTTAGAAAGACAGGGAATTCGGAGCTTAGGAGTGGGAAGGTATAACAATGCCTATTTAACCCTTTTGCTTCTAGAACCAGGAAATCCTTTTGTTTGTTCCTTTGCTTTTGTTTTTAAGTGGGCTCCATGCTAGGCATGGAGTCCAATTCAGGACTCGAGCTCATGATCTGAGATCAAGACCTGAGCTGAGATCAAGAATCAGATGCTTAACCCACTGAGCCACCCCAGGAAATCCTTTAATTGTAAATCATAAAAACAAAAACTCAACAGATAAATCAGGCTCTGCACAATCTCTCTGGGGCAAATAGTTATAAAAAAAATCCATATGTTTAGCATCAAATAGAAATCACATACGAAAATAATCACTTGAAAAGTGATGTCATCTTCCCAGAATGGCTTCCAGCTGTGTCCTTTATTTATCTTTCCATCTCTCTTCTTCAGATTTTCCCTTGAGGACAAGAAAGCCTGCCATCATGGTGTTCATACAAAAAACATGCAGATTCTCTTATTAAACAAATCCGTGGCATCCCTGATGGGGCTTTTCTAAAAATGACAGTATCCATATGCAATCACTGTAGCTTGGTTTATTCATTTAGCAAACCTTTACTGAGCACTTACTGGGTGCCAGGTCCTGTGCTAGGCTTTAGAGAAGCACAGTTAAATCATCAGCCTGCTGCTTTCTGAAGGTGCTTACGACCCTGGGAGGGAGTGGAATATGGAAATCCGTTCCCATTGTGTAGCGCCCATGGGAGGGTTATGTTCCAGGTGAGTGAAAGGAGCCCTGGGCATGTAGAGAAGAGGCATGCCCGTCAGCCTGGGGTGATGGTTCTTCACCCGTCCTGTCCCACGCAATGCTTCCACCTTTTCTGTGTGTGTGTGTGTGTGTGTGTGTGTGTGTGTGTGTGTGGTGAAACACATAATGTCAAATTTACCACCTTAACCATTTTTCACCGCACAGTTCAGTGAAGTATATTCATGTTTGGTGAAACAGATCTCTGGAACTTTTTCCTCTTGCAAAACTGAAACCCTATACCCACTGAAGAACAACTTCCCTTTCTCCCCTCCCACCCCCAGCCCCTGGCCACCACTGTGCTGCTTTCTGCTGCTGTGAGTGTGACTACCTCACAGAAACGCAAACAGACAGTGTTTGTCTTCTCATGACTGGCCTCTTATTTCACTTAATGTCCTCAAGGTTTATCCATACTGTAGCATGTGGCAAGATTTTCTTCCTCTCTGAGGTGAATAATATTCCACTGATGTATAGACCACGCTTTGCTCATCTATTCATCCATCAGTGGAACATACTGTACCTATTTGCAATTGAAATAGGTATTTTGTCATTCCCCCTTTACTGTCTGAAATAAATTGACAGATGAGATACCTAATTTGAAACAACATATAAGGCTCTAAATATAATATACAAAAATACAAGGAATTAAATATTAAAACAAGTGTACTTCAGTTAATGCTTGAATAGGCTAAAAGACAAATTAGTAAGATGCTTTCACCTACGTATATAATTACCATACATACAACAATTTAAAAAATGCATATGAATATAAGATAGAGTTAGGGTCAGGGCTCAGGTTATTAGAAATAGGATTTTCACCTCCATCAACGTCTGAAGGACATTCAGAAGTTGAACAAGATGCAGGATAATTCATTGCATGTAAATTACCTGGAATATTGCAACAGATCTAGTACGTATAACCCAGCACACCAAATGCCACTAACGCCATCTTGTTCTTGTGCCATTTAAAAATACACACACACACACACACACACACACACAAAGACAGGTGTCTCAGTGGGTTGAGTAACCAACTTGATTTCGGCTCAGGTCATGATCTCATGGGCTGTGAGATAGGACCCCATGCCAGGCTCTGCGCTCAGTGGGGAATATACTTGAGACTCTCTCCCACTGCCCTGCCCCTGACTCATGCTGACAACTCTCTCTCTCTCTCAAATAAATAAAGAAATAAATCTCTTAAAAAATAAAATACACAGCATACTACAAAAATGCCCTCTCTGGGGCAGTACCCTTCCACTGAGATCCCCTGGACAAGAGCATCAGAGAAAGGCTTAAACTGAATTTTGAACAACTGCTAGGAGTTAGACACAAACTAGTGAGTGCTCAAAATTATTTGTTAAATGAATGAAAGAAGGCTGCTTTTCATTCCCATTCCTATCTATTTCTTGAGAAATTGTTGCAGAGTCTAAACTGGAAGCTATCTTTAACCATAAGCTGAGATAGAATTCTGAATAATAAGTCAGCACGGAAGGTAGAAATCGCGAGAAGGCTGCCTGGCACCTTAGGACAGCTGGTGTTGGGTAGACGGCTCCGTGCACCCTTGCATCCTGGTCTCCTGAACATGCAGAGACAAAATAATCGTGGGCACTACGTGTAAACATTCTACAGGCGGCGAAGCTGAAACAGCATTGCTCTTGGCGGCCCATCTGCTGTGAAGCGAAGCGTAAGGGTTTCCGTACGTGAGTACTAATTACCGGTCTATTGCGTCTCTCTCTCTCTCTGGTTATCTTTCAACAGGATATCGAGGAGACGATGAACACTGCTCTGAATGAACTGCGTGAACTGGAGAGACAGAGTACAGCAAAGCACGCCCCCGACGTGGTGCTGGACACCTTAGAACAAGTGAAGAATGCTCCCACCCCGGCCACGTCCACGGAATCTCTCAGCCCTTTGCACAACGTGGCCCTCCGAAGCTCCGAGCCACAGATCCGACGGAGCACTAGCTCCTCCAGTGATACAATGAGTACTTTCAAGCCTATGGTGGCACCCAGAATGGGTGTGCAGCTGAAGCCGCCAGCCCTCCGGCCAAAACCTGCTGTTCTTCCAAAAACAAACCCTACCATAGGACCTGCCCCACCTTCCCAAGGTCCAGCAGACAAGTCTTGCACAATGTGAAGACCAAGTGGGCAAGGTCATCTGGGCTGGTGATTTTAAAAGAAACGGGTCACTGACAAAAGTCACTGATCCATAACTTTCCTTAGTTTTGTGCTTATAACTGGAGATTTTTGGCTTTTCTATGTTCTCGAATGTAATGTCTGAGACTAGCTAAATTAACACGGGCATTTGTATTTTGTAATTTTTTTCCTTTTTTTTTTTAATAACTGGACATATCTATGTCATTTTAAAGACAATAGAAACACTTAGATTTACTTGAAAATCCAATGCTGCACCATTTGTAATGAAGGCAACACCGCTCTGGCCTCCGCGTGGTGGAGTGCTTTGGGCTTAGTGTAGTGTGGGTGAGTCAGAAACGTCTGGATCCGAAGGCATGAGAATCTGAGTTCCAGGCCCCAGTGTGAAACCACTGTTGGCCTGCATGGCACTTGGGGTAGTAGCTGAAAGGTTGCCAGCGGCATTGTTAGGTAGCTGACCGTGAGCGCCTCTGCCCCGTGCAGTGGGACGTTCCCCGGGCGAACTTGCAGCCCACCGCCTGAATGAGTTGGATGGTTGCCTCTTTCATAAGAGCCATTTCCCTCGGGTCCAGGTTAAAAGCTCAAAAGAATGGGGTCAGAACCCCTGCAGTTACTGCTTGAGCTGAACCTAAGAAAGGAGAGAGAGAGAATCCTCCGGAGCTCTCAGCGTGACTCCTTCCACAAACCTGCTCAGGCCCCCGAAGATTTCCAAGTCCATCCCCTGCATTCACAAAGGACCAGAACAGTCTAATTTCAAAGACTTGTGGTTATGCTACTCCCCAGACTCCTTCAGAGATCTGTTGTTGCTAACTGCCTAGGGAATACTTCTAGCTCCCCTAAACTGCTGTGTTCTCCCCCGGAAATGGAGCGCGCACACGGCACACAAGTCCTTGCCTCACTCACTCAGCTTTCCCTTCCAGCTAAATGACCTCGGTCCTTTAAACATGCTTACAGAGGCCTGAGGAACCTAAGTGGAATCCCCAGCTCTGCTCTCCGTGTGTCTTTCTGAGCCAGCCAAGAACTAGCTACGGTACCCAAGGACGGGCCATGCTGGCCGAGGTGGGAGGGGCACCTCATGGTTCCGGGGTGACTTCCTTACAACCTAGCACCCTGGATCCGTTGACTTTTTCCTTTTTTTTTTTTTTTTTTTTTTTTTTTTTACATGGTCTCTAGAGAACTCAGATAGTCAGATGAGCTCCATGAGGGACCCTCTTTCTCTGACATCTGAGCCCCAAAAACAGTTTTCTCTTTGTTTTTCCTCTGTCTTAAAAAGTTGTTTTGAATTCAGTTGTTTTTGCTAAGGTACAAATCACCACTCCTACCAACAGCAGCTTATGGCATCCTATCTACTCTGTCACTGAACTTACTGATGAAGAGACTTTTTTTTTTAAAGAAAAATGGATGGCCCGGACTAACCCCTCTCCCTCTCAACCACCATTATTTCCTTCTAGGTTTGGATTCAAACTGGCGGCCACCGGGCTGCCCATCCAAGAGTGACAGAGTATGGACTTGACTCTGTTAACCCACTAGCGAATGCCTCCTGCAGGAAAGAATGAGGATCTGTACTAAAAATTAAGATCATTACTGTGATCTCTCCCTCTGTTTACCAATCTAATCATTCTAATGCAGAGAGAGATTAAATTAATGAGATAAGGTTACCTTTCGAAGTCACACTTCTGGTTGCTTGTCTGTGGCCTAATTTCACAAATGGATTGAATGGAGAATTTTTTTCAAGTATTTCCAGGTATGGTAAGCTTTCAAATCTGAGTTTTCTGAAGCATCCTCTTTGCTCACTTTGAAAACAATGCCCCATCGGCATCTTATCCAGCCCCTCACCATTTCTCTTGAGCCTCAGTGGTCCCTCAGCAACTTGAGACACCATGGACACTCAGCCAGGATTGAGCTCTGAGTAGCACTAACCCTTTTAAACCATCTTCCCAAATTCCTAGGAAATTAAAACTTTCCTGAATAACCTCTCAGTTCTTTCAGATTCCACTTTGGTCTCTAATTCTCTGCTACTATATGGGGAAACAGAAGCAGAGAACAAAAATGAAAATAATGAAGTGGGGAGGAGTTAGATATTTTTTAGACATTGAAAGAAAAAGTATTTCTTTAAAGCATTTTTCCATCTTTGATGGAAGAGTAAGATGTGAACAGAGGTCATCAAAAGGGCAGAGGCATGTTGAATTTATTATGGGGAGAGGAGGTATCTTTTACAAGTTATAACTTAGATCTTACTCCTGCAAGTTTATGTCTTCAGACTTTTCCCTGGTAATACCGCACAGTGTCTCCTCTCTTCAGTGTTTATACCTCTGATGAAACAAGGGTTGCCTCTCCAACCGCCAAATTCTGATTCTGCTCCCTTGGGTAGCAGAAGACATGCTGCTCTAAAGCCTCAGGACCTCAGAGGCTGTGCCTTCTTGCAGGAAACATCTCATGCTCTCCCATCACTCCCTTAACATCTCTCTCTCTTCTCTCCGTATACTCCTGGTGACATCCCAAAGCCTTTCTTTTTCTTTTTCTCTTTTTTTTTCTATCTCCCCTCCCCCATTCCCATGGATGTGACCTCACAGTGAGTAAGGACTCACCTTTTCTTACTTTGTTTTAGTAAGGAGTCTTCAGATTCCAGGGCCACTTCACAAAGGATCCAGAATAACATCCTATAAGCTCATTAAAAGTTTCTGCAGCTGGAGGCTTCACCCAGCCAGTGGCCCTCTGTACAGCTACAGGTGTAACAGTGGGGAGGAGGGAAGGTGTGAGGGATGGGCAGAAAGAAAAGAATCTGGAGATGTTACGTCCCCAGTTTCAAGGATAGGATCCTTCTTCATGCAGAGTTTGGGAAGGATCATTCTGATGGCTCTACAGAGCTGAGCAGACTCCACTTAGACAAGAATAAATACTCACAGCTGATACAACTGTTCATGTCCCATCCACAGAACTCACTGAAGTAGGCTTACCAAGTTGACCTTTTGGTCAGGGTCAGGGTTGTTGGGAGAGGGTCATTAGGAGAAAGAGAAATGTACTTAGTACAGATTTTCGGATGAGTGTCCTATAAATGTTTTGAACCAGTCAAATGGCCCTATGCAGAGCTCTACATTCATGTTCAGTCAACACTATCGCTCAACGGTTTTGCACGTTTTCACGCGATGTCATTTGACTTTGGTGTTCCTTGAGCCATCCATAGAAAAATTACAGCAGGTCCCACTTACTCTACCGTGGTGAGTGTGAACAGCCCTCAGTGGATAGAGCAGGTCACACTGTATCAGTCAAGAGTTTTCTCGGTACTTTTGCCATTCCCAAAATGGGCTTATAATTTAATTAAGGAAAAGATACAAGTGGAAAGGATAGTGGTCTCTTCAGCTTTGGGAATGACATGGGGTCTATAAAATGAAGAAACTTTAATATGATAATTACAGCCTCTAAAATTTAAAGAGCCCACACTATACATTAGGTAACTGGAATTTAAATAAACTTTCAGAAAATAAAGAGCCCAGAGATCTGTTGAGGGTTTAGAAGACTTCAGATTTGGGATCATATTCATTTTATTCCACAGTAGTGAGAGGCCACGAATGCAGGAAAAGCACTTGGGACTGAGTCTTGCCCTGGGTTACCCACCACTGACTCTGCAGAAGGGGAGTGACTTAGAGGTAAAGGCTCACCCATGTATGCAATAGAGCTCCCCACTCCAGACCCCCTCACCCCAGCTGAAAACCCAGCCTCCAGCTGGGCTGGGGTGTCAGGCTGCGTTTGGCACACACACTGCCCCCCACTACCCCTGGTTCAGATCAGTAAAATAAACTGGAAATCAAGCTTTCACTTACCCTAGTATACTTTCTTTAAAAAAATAAATAGTCTATGTGGTATAATCGAATGGGTACCTGTATCTTTAAATTACATAGGGACTTTTGTATGTTTAAATAATTGTACTGGGTTCCATAATGCTTATCTTAGAAACTGTTTAGTAAAATATATAAGCCGTGCATTTGTGAATGCCCCCTTTAGAGCATTCATCCAAGTTCAATGTGTAGCGTGATGGTTATTCTAGATGTTTAAAGTAAAGTGAGTGGCTGTGTAACAGGAGAGACTGCTATTTACCTATGGACTGGAGGGTAACTCCTGCCCACTTAATTAAATCAGTATTGTCCTTTTCTGTTGGTTTGATCAATTACAGTACTGGTAGCTTCCTGCTTGTGACTGTTACCTAAATCGTGTCGATGTACATCTGTAGTATGTACACGTGAAGTGCCTTTCTATTTTAGAGGAGTTTTAGCCTTGCTTTTTACTGTTTCCCGCCCCCCCCATCCATCCACCCCACCCCGCTCCTGCTCCCTGACACCCCCACCTCCCGCTTCCCGCCCCAATTCCTAACACCCACATGAGTGGAAACTTCCTCTGCCTTCTCCCTGCTTCTCCGTGCCCTTTCCTGTGCCTCAGTGCTCAGTATCGTCCGTCTTGCATCCTTGTCTGTCATCAGACTGTCTCGTTTTGCTGGTAGCCGTGACTGTGCCTTTCCCGCCCGCAGTGTCCCCGCATCCCCCCTCCCTCTCTGAGCTGCTGCCCTCCAACCTGCATCGCCTGCGTTCTGTCCGCCTGTTACAGTCCCTGGGCTCTGAGGCAGAAATAGGGGGGATGCTGTTACAGTTCTGGAAGAAAAGAAATGTTTTGTTAATCTGTTGTGACAATGCACTTTTATGTATAGTACTGTACATTCTGGCATGTACCACTCCGGGCTTCAGTATACAGTCGGGTCTGCTCTTCACGGTGTATCTTTATAATAAATAAGATAGTTCTGGCTGCCTTTGTCTTCTTCTGAGTTGGTGTGATTCTTGGTGGTGTTTTCATTCCTCTCCTTTCTTTTTCTAATCACTGTTAACCCCCTCCCCCAGAGAGCTGAGTTGCAATTAGATGGTGGGAAACTACCTTTTTTTTTTTTTAATGTTTTTATTTGTGAACTTGAAAATGAGACCTCATGCACAGAGCCTTGATCATGAAGCCAGAGTTTTTCAGAGGATGATTTGGAGATTCCTGTGTGGTAAGGAAAGGGGATTGGGAGAGGGCAAGCAAGCTTCCTAAACACATCCATATTGAAATCTTTCTTGAAAAGGATTCTTTGGCATAGTAAACCTTGTCAAGCTGATCTTTGGTTTCATTCGAATACACTGAAATGCAATCCTTAGGTATAGACTATGTTTAGAATTCCCCATGTATTGATATATTTTCCTTCAAACATTAAAATAAACAAAAACAAACTCTTGAGGTCTATCAATACCAAATAGATAGTTTTGTAAAAATTATCAGCAATGTGCTGGATTGAGTATTGATAAGAGTTGAGGAATTTTTTTAAATGATGCATAAATCAAGGGAAAACACTTTTTACTGGAGTGTAAATTACAAACAGGAAAGTGCACAAATCATTAATGTAGGAATTTTCACAAAGTAACACTCTATCATATCCACTGCCCAGATCAATAAACAGCACACTGTCAGCATCCCAGAAGCTACCCTTGGGCCTCTCCAAAGTTAATATCCTCAGGAACAATACCATGGTTTTGTATGGCCTGTCGTTTTAACTTTCTAGAAATGGCCTCCTGGTATGTAGAT